TGTATGTATGTATGTATGTATGTATGTATGTATGTATGTATGTATGTATGTATGTATGTATGTATGTATGAACTTACACTGAAAAAAAGTTGCATCAACAAAATGACACAAAGTGTTTCCGCTAAATGATTTAGAAATTAATCAATACAACATAAAGGTCTTGAAGTTCAACATAGTTTGGATGTGTATACTCAGAGGCCACACCCCTCTTCAGAACCTGTAATTTCATTTGTTCCTTGTTTCATGCACCTCTGTTGTTTTAAGGGCAAAGTTCATTATTTCTGTTGTTTATTAGATATTGTTTTCTCAACCAATCCTGTTGCACCTCAGTATATTTATAACAATTCACTTGCATGTTTTTCTATCTTGAAGGAAAAATGTTTCTCTTCAGGACACTTAAAAAACATACATTTAACACTGCCCAAGCAACCCCAAGCTACAATATAGAAAAGGCATTATTTAAATTTTGATACACCAATCAAAGCTGGGTGTGCAGTTGAAGAGACTACAACAAGAAAACAGAAGAAAACAGAAGACTCACATCTGCTTTACTGGATTGTGATTGGAAGAACACTGCCTCTCTGTGACCACACCTGAAGTAAAAAAAATGTCATCTTATGAAGTACATATTTTATTTCACCTACAAAGATTGTCCTTCAAAATATTTACATTAGGGAGCTTTAGATTGGACTATGAGTACGAGACTGAGTACGAGTACGATTTTCAATTTTCAAATCAGTGACGTTTCCAGAGTCCTTGCTGTTCATGCTGGTTTTAGGCAGAGAGGGTAGCTCAGGGGATGAAATGGGTATGTGATGTGATAATGTGAAGCCTGAAAACTAGAATTGAAAAGTCGTTCTCGTACTCGATCTCGTACTCGTACTCAAATCTAAAGTCCCCTATTATGTTGTTTCTATGAATGCATATGTTGGCCACCATAGTCTTAGAGTTACCACAGCAACATGCCAAAGAAAGGAAATCTAACTCAGGGGTTTCATTAAGGGCAGGGCACCGAGCAAATTGACCATCTGTGAAGATGATTTTGCCTGCCTGGTTTGTTGATCTAGAGGAAAGTTTTTCATACAAAGAAGTTCAGTTCAAAACATTTTGCCTGTCTGTGAAAGCCACTTGCTCTCCTGCTAGAGACATCGATGAAACCCCTGCTAGCTTGTGTGTCAAGTTCACCCAAAAACTAAAGTTGGCATACTTAGGGCATTCATGATCTTCTGTTCTTGGTAATGTAGGGTCAGCTACAACATCTGTTACAATCTGTGTTAGTTCACTGTAAAAAAGGAAAGGCACAGAAGATTTAACAACAAACATGTATCAGGCTACAAATGCCAATAATTTGGGAAAGCAAAAGTATATCTTTTGGCCAGAGAACACAAGTCTAAGTCTACAATTTAGTTACTTTGTGTTTAAAAATACAAGTTACATTTATATTTAAGTCCAATTCTGGCCCCCTGTCTGTCAAAAAATACTGTATGGCATTGCATGACAGAGGGAGGGCCAGAACTGGACTACAGTATCCATATTAAGAACATTCTGTGGAATACAGATTCCTAGGAAAAAAAACGGCGATTCTACTGTTAGTATAAGAGCTTTTCATTGAAGTACAGAATTGTGAGCAGGCATCCATAACTTATTATTATTATTATTATTATTATTGTTATTATTATTATTATTTTATTAGAGCACTCACACTATTTACAATACTACAACAGCTACAAATACTAAAACATTACTTATAAACACAACGTACCAATTAAGCCGTATAAATTATTACTTACAATAACATTACATGACTTACAATACTAGCTTAAACATACTGAACAATACATTTATCTTAAAATACAATCACAAAGGCAATAGAAAGTTACAAAAGAAGTGATACAATAAATAGTTAGACTATAGTTATTGTTTACACAGAACAAATTGTCCCCCATTTTTTAATAAATTGATCTAAAGTTTTGTTCTTAGTCCAGATATATTTTTCTGTCTCAAATTTCATTTTGATCTTCATCTTACACCCAGCTAAGCTTGGAAGTATTTGAGATCTTCTGCAATCCCATAGATATGGTTTGGCTATCAACAAGAAATAATTTAGTAAGGGGCATTCTGAAGTTACAATGCCTATTAATACAGGTGTCAATAACACTTGGTTCCATTGTACTTACTTGACTTCATGAGTGATTTTGTTCACATAGATGCAACTGTTATCTGCTTCTTGCTGATAATCACAGTTCCTACACTGAAATACATGTACACAGGATGAGTCAGAAACCAGCCTTTAAACCACTAGCTACATATTACACAAACACCCATGCAATAAATCAATAATTAACTACTGTATTCCATACTTGAATTTAGTTACTTTTACGTGTTGTACCATAAATCAAACTTTCTCTTAGCCTGAATGGAAAGCCATTGGACTAATACCTTTTTAATATTTTTTTAATACTGTACCTCACATTTTCCAAAAAAGTGACTCCTTGAGGTAACTAGATAAAAGTGTTTCACATTCTGAGCTATACTGTTATCAGATAATCCCATGCCATTCAGGTAACCATCTAAGGCTGCATACCCATTAGCCTTTGTACAGCACATTATTTTATGAAGGGAGGTTAGTGCCTCATACAGTAGTATTTTTTGCGACACCCTTTACAAGTACCAAATTCTGTCGATCCATAATACCAGGGCGTAACAAATCACTAATTTTGACACTCGATAAAAATCAATAAAATCGACTATTTTTGATACTACTGTAATTAATTGATTATTATTGGAAATCAGTGAAAATTGATAGTAAAAGTTATGATTTTGATCATTTTTACAATTAAAGTTTGATTTCTATCAATTTCTATCGATTACCATTGATCTCTATTGATTTCTATCGAAAAAATATCAATATTGTTTACTTTCCTTTTCTGGTGCCCATTTCTGATTTCAATGCAAGAAACACCTTGGGAACGAGGTAGAAGATCATGGTAATCAGAAAACTTCTGTGAACAACATACTCAGCCAGAGACGAGAATTTTGCATATCTATGTATGTAGAAAAACATTTGAAGTTTGGTGAAATTAAATTCACCTGAGGCACAACACAGTTTTGCTCAGCAAAAATGTTGTTTGAACAATATTCTTGCAAAGATGTAATTGTATTATTTTGGTTTCCTGGGCTTATTCCACAGATTTAACCAATATTCAGATTCCATGTGATATTCCAAGACTTGCTCATGGAAGAATTTTCCCCTGTAACCGAGTGTTAAAGGTTTCCTAAGTGTAACACTTTTGTACATAGGTATCCTGCAATCTTCCAATATTCATTGCTCCATATGACACTGGGTTATCACGTGTTATCAAGAATAGGTGGTCATGGTAAGACACAGGGGTTAGTTTTTGTTTGATTTCAGATCAGCTTATTCATTTTATGATGTCATGTGAATGAATATGTTAATAGTTTTACTCTAGTTATTGATCAAAATCTATAATCCGATCTCAAATAGTGCGATTATCAATATTTATTGATTATTTTGACCAATCGATTGATCAGTGTTGAAAAATATCAAGTAATATCGATTAATTGATTAGGTTTTCGATGATCAATTTTGATGGATTTGTTACGTCCTGATAGTACATGTACATATGGCATTGCACAGATTTGATCATCATCTACAAGTACCACTGAGTAGTTGTGAGTCATTATTCAGTTTTTCATGCATCTCATACAGCACTTGCTAATGTATTTCTGTCAAATAAAATTTTATGCTCTCCACTTTCAACTGAAAACTAATGGTCACTGTAGCTAACAAATCAACTGGAAATGAACTACACTCTAATCACTTACTGCATACAATAAGATCTTGTTATCTTTGTCTTCCTTAGGATACAACATGTTGTTGCTGAAGAAGAAAAAGAACTATCCATTTATAATATTACAGTGTAACCAAATGGCTAAACCTACCACGGTAGCGAGTTGCATTGAAGCGTCACCTCTAATTAAGCAGTGAAACAGTACAACCATGTTTACTATGCAAACTATCGTTAACGTTGCCGATAAGTTAGGTTGCAGAAACAATATAGCACTGAGTACATGTGTAAAACGAACATGTCAATCGTTGAAGAGACAAAATCTTACCATTCCTGACAAAATTTGATGCCCACAAAGCCTGGTCCATCGTCTAAACGACCTCTGGTATTCATCTTCCAGTCGTTTTTTCAATTTTTTTTTTTCCTTTTAATTAACAAAACTTTGACACAGAGAGTAATTTATCAAACGTAAACTAAATCAAAATGGCGACCACCAGGCTCGAAACGTCGCGGGAAACTGGGAACCACAAAATAATAAGTCCGCTGGTAAACTGAACTGCCGCCCGCTACTGTACTGAGGGAAGGTCGTAGCCAATTTTGTAGCAAAGTGTCAGACCTTCCTCTGCAATTCCCCCCAACCCCTACCCTCTTGCTAAGAAAGGCCTGATACTCAGGTTAAGGTGGTCGCTCATTCGTGCCATGGAGAAAACATATTTTTTATCAATTTTTAGCGACTTTTTCATCGATTTTCGGCGACTTTATTAACGACCGTGCGTGTTTACGATATCGGCTCTCACCATGTCTCCATCTCTTATTATCAGTCAATCACGTGTGCAACTTGAGCCCGCAAAAAGTCGCTAAAAAAAGTCGCGAAAGATGTCGCTGTTAAATCTGGGTACAGTACAATGCATCGTTGTCACTATCACTTAAACTCTTTCCCTCGATTTTTCTTTTTCTGTATATTTGCCACAGAAAATTCTCGATTGAATCAAAGTTTATTTCCTTTACTCGTGGGTAGGGGGTTCTGATTGTCTGAACATGCCATCAAAGTTATTGTCGAAGTGAGCGCGAAGCGTGGGGAGGTCTAGGACGGCCGATAGAAATTGGATCGGTGATCAAAGTGGGAATTTCCCTCCAGCTGACTGCGAAAGAGCAATAGCAAGATTGGCTTAACGACTTAAACTTCTCAAACTCCTTAGGTGGTTAATTTACCTTTACCATGGATCGTGGAAAACGACAGTTCAATCACTGATCAACTTATGAAAGAATGCAACAGTCTCCTGGCTGATACAAAACGTGTCGACGAGGAGCAGTAAAACTTCCAAGGGGTACTATTAGTAAATATATGGAAGAGAATCATATCTGGCTCTCAAAAGATTTTTATTAACTGGAAAAGAAAGGGTGGAGATTGCACTTGGTGAAATATATAATAAAAGGGGAAAAAATGAAGATTTTTAAAAAGACAAATTAAAGATTGAATTATAATTCATAACTGACATATGGCTACTAAAACGATGCTCTCTGACTCTGAGTCCCTTTCGTGTGATGTACTGTAAAATCCAATTTCATAGCAAATCACCTTACAAATTGTAGTTATTTCATTACAAATTAATTATGCTTCCTTGAACACCTTGTTAATTAATAAAAGGCTCAACCGAAAGAATTTACTGTCAGTAATAGGGCTAGCCGAAGGTCACACCAAAATTAAGCTCCGCTCGATGTGGCTGATAAAAATATCATCATCATCAATCCTTATTGCCCCCAGTGGGGCATGGGGCCGCAAAAATATAAAAATTCAATAATGTCACATGCAATATCTTTATATATTATTTATCTTCAAGGTTTATAACTTCTGTTCTCTCATCAGGCTTCCTGAGGCTCATGTGACTGGTACAGCGCTGTGTACATGATCATTACTTCTTGGATCCACCATCTGGAGCTGGAGCTAATGCCGGCAGTTTAACAGAACTTTGTTTCGGTTTTGCTGTTGAATTATCCACCATGCCCGGCTTGCTGACCTGGAAATATCAAATACGAGAATCACTTTAGAAAAACAATAATAATAACAATCTTGCAATGCGCATACTATGCCAGAAAGGGGCGTACAAATCAGAATAAAAATGTATTGGTCTGACATAAGTGCATAGTCTGACAGCCTGTTCAGTGTCAAGTCAACACAGTTCTACTTAATTGCTATTGATCAGTTGCTCAGTCTAACAGAGGAGAATAATAATAACAATAATAATAATAATAATAATAATAATAATTAAAACTAATGTAGCGCAATGTTCCATGACGTATATGATCGAATCCAAAAGTGAATGTATAAACTGGCTTGTTCATATATATTGCCAACAGTCATGGTTTTCATCTGGCACTTACTCGTGACCTATCTACTACTACTGAATTTACTTTGTTCCAAGGTATTTAGTGATTTACTGATTTATTCCGCTAGCTTACTAATTTATTGTTTTTGTTGTTTTTTGTTGTTGTTGTTGTTGTTGTTTTTTTTTCCCTTATTTTGTCTCCTTACTGCTCCTCCCCGGTTTAAGCTTTACTGCCAACCAACTTCTTTAATACTATAAATACTATCTAATGTTACTCAGCTCGATTAGCTTTTAAGTTATTCTGGGTTTCAGTTATCTTTTTTTGTGACTTAAAACTGATACCAATTTCTATTTTGGTAATAAAGTGTACATGTGCGTTGAAGTGTGTTGTTACTGTTTAGTCCACACGACGTCCATTCGATTCATTCACCGTTTACGTTTGACTTACCTTCCTCCTTGTTTCATGGCTGTTTGCTACCGGAAATGTTTTTTTCTTCGATGTCATGATATCAACGATTCTTTGTAGCAACTTGCTATTCTGTTTGTCAATTACAGCCTGGCGCTGCTCCTCAGCCTGTGTGTCAAAAGAAAGATTAGCATTCAGTTACAAAGGGACTGGGAAAAGAAAAGCTCAGAAATTGAAACGCAGAGTTGTCAAAAGCGTAAGCCGATGTAGACAACATTTCTGCGATGCTGGTGATGACGATGATGATGATGATGATGAAAATGATGATGGTGACTATGGTAATGATGATTATTAAGTCAAAATATAACGGACCAATCAGAATCCTAAAATCTTTTTCGCTATTATGGTTGGATGTCACCTTGTTCTGTTGTTTAGTGATAACGATTATGACATTATGACATCATAGATTTCAATCGTTAAACTTGAGCTTGGAACTAGCCTTAGACAAGTGTTCTTGTTGCCAAAAATCTGTTGTCAGTATATTTTTCAATTCATCAACACTGATAAATTTGTCCATCTCTGTAAACGACATGATACTGCTGAATAAAGGAAAATGGAAATCAAGTAAAATGAAGTTATGGAACACGTTTGAAATTAAACCAAAACAAAAACCTATATATAAAATGCTGATAACAAAGTTCAATCGCTGCGTTACGTCACGTTACGTTATGTCACGTTACGATTTTCTCGATCATTGGTCAACATTACACCGCTTACCATAATCCGTCTGAATCTCATTTGTAACTGAGCCTCTTCGTCATTATACTGTAATGTTGTTTCTCGTTTTAATTTGGATTGTGTTTCGCTGAGCTGTAAAATGAAGAACAGAGAGGCTGATGAAAAAAAAAAAAAACAAAAAAAAACGTGAAACTTAATGAACTATTCGTATATGACAGAATTAAAACGAATTACACATGATGCAGTGAGCGCATGTGTTGGAACCCAAAACATCTTGTGCTTTTGTTCTCATGTGCGCTAAAAAGTAATAAGAATGATAATCCCGATAATCCATAGAGCCGACAATCCAGAACTGTGAAAAGCTCAGTTTTACAGAAGTTGCTAATCATCAAAAAAATAAAAAAATAAAGACTACGATGATGGCAGAATCATAAGTAGCACAGCTTGGGGCAGCTTGAAACATAAATTTGTAAACAGTTTTCAAGGGAGTTGCACTTAAGACAGGGCGGTTTGAAAACATCCAGGACATAATGCAAATCGGAACTGCATCAGCAAAGTAAACAAACCGAAGAAGGAGGTCCAAAGATACCGTGGAAGAAAAAAGACAAAACATTGGATTTTCACATATTCACTACATGGTTCTACTAATGCCCATTCAAAATAAACTCGCGGTCTGCAAATTAACAAGTCACCACTGAGTGCTTAGCAATGGTGAAGTTTGATATTACTTGACATCGACAAATACTTTCGTGAAAAGAAAGCAAAATCTCTTCGGACTGTCGTCCGAAGAATGGCTCAACAAAGCAAACAGCGGAAAGCTGAGTTGCGACTTACTCTTCGACGATGTTTTTCGTAAACTATTCGCTGCCATTTCTTCTCCAATATGTTCCCAGATTGCGCCATTCTTTCCGAAACCTGACGTCCTTTTGCAACTGAACCAGATAAAAATGTCTCTTGGAATATTCCTCCGTAGAAAACTGACGTTTTGGAATCCCAGAGGGGCTCAAGAGGAAGTCAATCAGTTCTCTCGCCGATCCCGATGAAGCATTCACATAAAGACCTTACAATTAGCTAGAATACCACAGAACTGTAAACCTATTCCTGCTAATGTACGAATAAATACAGACACAATACGCGGTAGACTTTAATCCATCATATCCATTATTTCTTTAGTAACCGGAGTATTTCATAACACACATTGTCATGCAAATTGTAGAGTTTATGGTACGCTTGTCATAAAACTAAATACATTTCAGACAGAAAATTGTCAGTAAGATTTAACAGATTGAGACTCTCATAATGAGTCAGTTAATCACTTAATTCACTCTGACAAGAGCACAAACACGGTTTTGTTGGGTGTAAGAGTTGGGTTTTCCTGCGTGAAAACTAGACAAAAAGTATTATGGCATCTAGAAGCATCTACTTCTGTGAGCAAAATGGCTCAAGAGAAATAAAGCACAGATCATAAGGCAAGTCACGAGAGTATAGAGAAAACCATCAGCTGGAAATTTTCGTTGATGTATTTAAGAATTTAAAGTGTGAACCTGAGAATAACGATTTTAATTGGCACGGGTCCCTGGCAGACTTTCGCTCCTTGTGAATATTAATGCAGAAAAATTCATTTGAAAGCTGCCAACGAATCTTTGATCGCGACTTCAAAATCTAAGACGACTAATGCTTTCATCCTAAGAGATTAGTTAGATGTAGACTAGGAACAATCCGTTTTTGTTCCTGAAATGGATGAGTTAAATTTATGCAAGTCATGGAAATACACCAGGAATTGACCGCTCGATCGTTCCTCTGTCAGTAGCGTTTTGCTTCGCATTCGTGTTTTCATACCGCACGCTACGAAAGTAAAATGACTACTCACACTCTAATCCAGACAACAAGTGTTTTAAACTCATTCTATATCATCAAAGGACGCTGATCTGCTAAAGGTTCACGCTCATTTTAATGAGATAAAAAAATGTATATTTTGTAAAAGTTTAATTTACTCAAAATGGCGTGCACCCAAATTAAAGATACCGGTGCGAATCGTATTTTTACTGATCCCGAAGCGATAGAGTCGAGCACCCGCTCGGAGCATGATAGTAAGGAAAAAAAGAAATCATCAAAAACAAAAAATTTAATTTTACATGTAAAATGAAAGCTAGCGTTCATTCATTGGTTCTATTCTATATTAAACAAAATCATCATTTCTTATAGACTAATCGACACTTCCGTGGGTAAAATGAAAAGAAGCAATCACAAGATGTATTATACCGTTCTACCACAGCCTGTTTCTGACGAATCCCACCTCGATTGCGTTACAATCCTGACAGACTACGACCAATAAGATGAGATTATTAATAATGCTAAGTACTGCGGGACAGCTGAAGGCGATAAATCTTCATCTGTTGTCGGTTGTTGTTGCTATAAGCAAAATAATCCAAACAAACCCCAATTTATTTTCTAAAGCTGATTTTTAGTCTGTTAAACTGGAAGATTTATGATGTGGGCATTATTTCAAGTTTTTTTGGCAAGATTCGTGAAGTTATGTTGAAAATCATTGTCATGAACAGCGCGTTTGGCAGTATGATATTCAATTTGTATTTGCTTAGTTTTGTCTGCGTCAAGTTAATAAAAATGTGTCAGAATAATCAAATGTTATTTCCATGGCAATATTGAAAACTTGCGCTGCACTACCTGACGTGATAAGTGGATTCAAACTCAATGCTGTTAATCTATGAAATTCATTTCAAAGTTGTCTCCGAATCTCCGATCGAGTTACAAATCCAAGACCAAAAATGTTCTTATCTGAGAGATCAGCTAGATCAGCGAGATGAACTAAACCCACTCTGCATCTAATCCGCTAAGGTACGGCTCAATTTCATGAATTTGTCAACATGTTTATCATGTGAGCATTTCGCTATAATGGTGGGCACCCAACGATACCAGCGCGAATCGCATTTTATTAAACCCTGGCTGATTCCGAAGCGAAATATTTAAGCAGCTGGTCGTGCCGAAGCGATGTTTCGCTTTTTACCAAAAAAAAAATATATGCTAACTTACGTGTAACAGGCCACGCGAGTTTTGACCACGTATTGTTATCGGGATTGTTGTTGTTTTCGCTTTAACAGCAAAATAAATCCCACGAAATCGCGAATCGCCACCCAAAAAACACGACAACTTAACATCGCGGAACCCATTAGAACGTTGGCTGGTTCGTTCTAGAGCGACATTTTAATACTCGGCTCGACATGTTTGAAACCGCGAATTTGTCAGTCGTGTAATTATACAATGCTTCTCGCGCCGGGCTTCCCATACTAACAAAAAGGCAACGAAAAATCCTGCAAATGAAAACCTTTCCAGTAATAAACCGACACCGATGTAAAGCTATAGCGCACACTTTTTGGGTGAGCAGTTTTCAAACTTAGCCATTTCTCGGGCGAAAATATATGATGAAAGTAAACGCTACAAACTGTCATTATGAAATACAAAAAATAAAAATAATTGTCGGATCTCATCATCAGTCGCAAAGATGCGACCAATGTCAGACCAAAATGTTTACTATGTGCTTCATGTCAATGTATTTCTTATATGACAGCGTATAAGCAATACACTGAAGATTATGGTTGTCATGAAAGCGTATAAACCAACACTGCTCTTTGCAGCCCTCTTGTGTTATTGTTACCAGAGCTGATATTAGACTGAATTCTTAATCGTTTTGTTTGCCTATGTACGTACTATTTGTAGGTTTAACAACAGTTCTTTATATGAGTGAAATTGCACACACAGCCGGAGGCCGTAACTAAATTGTACGTCCAGACGTATGTCTCTGGGCATGTTTCTTTTGGCATTTACTATTTATTAATAACGAATTCTTGCTTAAAGGCTCTGGTCGGACAATCGAAAAACCCTTTAATTGCAACTACAGATCAAAATGACCAAATATTAGCTGGGCAAGTTTATGTTTTATGAAAAATAAAAAAAAATTAAAATAATACAGAAATGTATATGTTAACGAATTTATAAATTCCGGCCGCCGGGTCTCAAGTAAAATGTTAAGTTGTGCGTAGTCGTCATCAAGTTATTGAGAAAAACAGTGGCTTAAAATGAGGGGGTGGGGGAGTGGGTGCAAACAAAGTTCTCTCCAGGTTACGCAAGTGACCACGTGCACTGCGTGCTCCACAGCTCCACCATGACATGACGGCAGGAAGAATGTCTCTGCACTATACACCCCTGGTACATTTATTAGCTGTGCTCTACAAATGGGCCGTATTGAGTTAGGAATACGAATAAATTCGTCTCAGTAGTATAATAAAGTACGTGTAGGTAAATCTGACTAGATGTACGATAGAACTCGTGTGTTGACAAATAAGGCTGCAGTATTTCGAGAGAGACTAGACTCTACAACAACTCGCTTTCTGCCAAAAAGGAGGGCTTGGCAACTATACAAGAGACTATTTCAGTTGGCAATGGCTAACATAAGGAGTACCGACCTAAATGTCGATGGAATAGAAAACATTTTTCCATCGTTTCTATCGGTTGCAGAAACACGAGTGGACGTACGTTCGGGAGAACGAGAAATGCTGTGAGAACAAAAACCGCCGGCGATTTTGCATTGTGCTGCATTTTGGAGAAAGCGAGCCATTTTCTCTTGCTAACATTTCGTATTTCTATGTAAAACTGAACGCTGCTTTGATATATCCAGCTCGAGCTCGAGCAGGTTCTTAGACCGATTGCGATAAATGCAGATGAGAAGGTAAAATTCAAATTCATTTTAACAAAGCATCGTCGATGGCGTTGCTGTAGGCGGCATTGCATAAGTTCCCCATAAGGTCTCTGAAGATGTACGGCTGGGGATGGATCAGGAAGCTTCTAAAAATATACTTTATTACTAAAGGGGTGTTACCTTCGCTCTTCTTTAAACTAAACTCTGTGTTTTCTGTCTGATATCAGTGTTTTAACGTTTTCTCGCCTGCTTTTGTGCAATTCTATCACAGGAAGGTCTGAGGAGCTCCCCACAATGACGTCACTGCATTCTTACCGGAATGGTGGATTTCCACCAGCTAATAAATTACTGGATAAGATTTGGCATCATGAAGACTATAAGCGACACAAGAAAAAGGTAAAGACTCTCAACGCTTTTTAGCCTACAACAGCTTTGTCAGTATCAAGAGAACATATCAGGACAATATTCCCCCTCCACCCCCCCCCTAACCTAGTATGAAGAAATCGACCTTTGATGTGCTTTAGCTTTACTATGATTGTCGAGACAAGCAACTTGATCAAATTCCTCCACCCATCCCACGGTGCCTTGGAGAGATCTTGATGTACATTTCTCATTATCTTAAACTATCAGGTTGAGAAAAACCTAATTCAATCACGACATTTGCTCAATTAGTAAATGGTTATCACTAATTTTACTGAGCCGGATCTCAGCAATAAAATAGTAACAAGTGTCTCGCTGCCAGCTAGCTCTCAATCTCCACATGTTCAGCGAAGAGTCATTATTAATCACGATAACGAAGATTACAAGGGCAGGCTCTCATACATAAAGGTCAACATAAAAATCAGTTGCATGAAGTAATCTTCCAAATAAATCATTTAAATAAGCATACGCCTATATTGCGGTTAACGCAATTTATTTCTTACGACTGGGTTTTCATTTTTTCATTTTATGGGAAAACAACTCTAGCCTGCTTTAATTTCTAAAGAGAGAACGCTTAATTTAACTCTTATTTCAGAGAAAAAGTCACGCGTTTGTTATTTTTCACATGCATTTTTTTTCCACATGAACACTTTCAAAGAAAGAGTTTCCGTTGGAGGCTAGACACTTTACATGCAAATAGCAGCTAGTTGACGTCGTCATGACAAAAAACATCTACAACTTTCTTTCGGCCCGCTCTTATTTATTTGACAACGAAACAGTTTCCATTTGAACACGATAGAGCCTTGAATTGCTCTCTATCCCTTGAGCTGTTTCCGGGGCAGTCTTGGAAAGCTTATTGACTGCGCGAGTGTTTGATCAGTTCCTGAAGTTCGCATGTTTTTTTCCTGGAAGCCATTTTAAAAACTGATTTGAAACATACACCTCAACAAAACCATGCATAGCTGTCTGCCTGGGAAAAAAATGCCTTCGTGCAATAAAACGGTTGAGAGAAGGCTTGATGAAGAAAGGAGAGAAGAGTATTATGAAAAGGTAAGTTAACATGTTTGAAGATTGTGATCATAGCTTGATCTGACATTCGGTAATGGAGTGCGTGCGCGTACTTTGCACAAGCGCGTATCGTTGCCGTGCGATCTCGGGCAAAATCGCTTGGTTGATATATTTTTACGTTAAAGCGGACATAGGATGACAAAGTTGCAGACCGTTCACTTATTAAAGGCATACATTCAAGAGATTTATTTACTCAGGACCTAATAAGCTCTTGACGGAATATCAGACATAATTAATCGATAAGAGATTCGCAATCGATCAAATATGTAAAACAATATACTGATATGTAGGATGGATGCTCTTTAAGTCTTTATAAGTCTTTCTCGGTTCTGGAAATTGCCTCACTTGATCATTTTCATTCCGAGTATTATCTCTTAGGCAGTATATTAGAGTGTAACACATTTGGTTATTTGTTTAATTTCTATTTGGTTCAATCCCTAACTACAGCTTTCTTTAAGGGTACTGCTTGCTTGCTTGCTTGCGCAAAGTTCGGAACTAAGAATTCTTAGGAGTAAATTTAGTAAAGCGACGTGTAAATCTGATGAGAACCTGTTAGTTATGTATCCCTCTGCATATTAAACATGTATGGCGTAGACGAAAATTTAGATTCACTTCTAAGTCACGCTATTCTGATAAGTCGTAAGCCATGATTCTTTAAAATGCGTCGAAAACTCGATAGAATAAATCAAAACAGTGGAAATAGGCAAAAAATGTCTACATGGCAAGTTTTTCTCGCTTGTAGGCCCGAAACAAAATAATCCGAGACGCAAAAAATTCAAATCCTTGTAAAAAAAATTGTGACAAATCGCATGATTTTGCGAGACAGAGGCATCGTTAATTCCCAGTCCTAATCGAGTTGCTAAGAAGTTGCGTGTTATCCCTCGAGACGAGCGGTGGAGTAACTTTTCAAATTTGAATAACAAAGGTAATTTTCACTCCGTCGCTAAAACAATAATGAAGGCAGACCAGATCAATTTATGTTCTAGTTCTTTCGTATTCTGTTCGTGTAAAAACGCTGTAGTCGAACGTAACGTTTATATACACTCGACCCCATCGCCGTGGACCCCGCGAGCAGTTTCGGAAAACAGACTGTCAACATTGAACTTAGATTTACCAAACGTGTTTGCCAACGGAGGCATATAAACACTGAATGAGCAAACAGAGAAATCTTTAAGAGGTAAGATGAGCACGGGAATTGGGAGCAATCCAGTCGATCGACGAATGAGAAGACGACAGACCGAAGATTACCTTTATCGGGTGAGGTTTATGTATGGCGGGCTTGTTATTGATTTTGTTCTGCTATATTTCGCTTTTTACTCAGCTGTTTATTTATCTGTAGCTATGATCGTGTTTGATTAATCGACGTGTCTGTGTCTTCACCTGTTAGCGATTCCGCAGAGTTAACAATTGGTTCTCGGGTTGGTTTGATCGCCTTTACCTCACCAAACATTTCGATCAGCTGTATTTTATCAAATTACCGTTCACCGATTTGCTAAATTTTGTTCATTTCTCTTCCGTGAGATACGATCTTCGACAATTTTAAATAGTAATACGCGTTACTGTTGTTACGTTCGATTTACCCTGTCTGTTTTCGATTTACCCTTTATGTCGTCGTCGAGAATGCTGTCCTTATAATTGCATGTTCATTATAACTGTGTGAAAGGTTTCATTCTCAAGAGATCAAATTAAAGCGAGGTCAATTACATGTCCGTACTATTGACAGATATAAATCATACTTCGTTATGTCAGTTTCCAGGCTAGATCTTTGTATGGAAATATTTAGATAATTCAAATTGATAACAAAGAAAACATTCACTTCAGTTATACTGCCGGTTATGCTATTTTTTTAATCAAAATATATTTTTTCTCTTTTTAGTTAAAAAACGTAAAGCCTTTTCTTGAAATTACACCGCCGAAGGAACATCAGCATCTTCAGTTGTCTGTCAAAAAAATGCAGGTAAATGTATTTGATTCATTGTATATTCATTTCAACATGTTGAATAAGATGAAATGACATATTGTTGTGGGGGGTGCTCTGGTGTAAGTTCTTATAGAATGAAAGGGAGGAAAGTAACAGTAACTTTATGGGTTACTATCCTAACCTAACCCTAACCCTAACCCTAACCCTAACCCATGAGGAATAAATAAAAAATAAATTTACCATTCCCCCAGTGGAAATCTTGCCGGATGCACCCTGGCATTAATTTAAGGTGTTCAGGATGAAACACCTCCATTTTTAGCCATCAAGCTATCTTTTAGAAATAAAAACCCATGTCATTTCTGTTTTCAGTGATATCTTTTATGGCTTTAGTTATGCCCAGATTGGTCTCCATTGAGGCTGAATTCAAATTTTCTATAAATCATCCCAGATGTTTTCACATGGTGGACCCTTCTCCTCCCCACCTACAGAGAAAGGACTACACATAGGGAGCTTCAGTATTAACTTTTTCATTTCTTTAATTTGTCATAGATGCAGCAAGAGAGACAAGCTGCCATTGATCGGCAAAACCAAGTTATTGTTACTCAGCTGATGAAAATCAAGCAATCCCCTGCCAGAGTTGACAACTGGAATACGCAGTGGAAGCCAAGGTTTTTGCTTTTACCTTTGGATCAGTTTTGACTGACTGACCAATTGACTGACTGACTGTCTGTCCATCTGTCTGGCTGGCTGGCTGACTTGCTGGCTTAGTGACTGACTGACTGACTGACTTACTGAATGGACTGATTGACAGACAGACTAGCTGAAGGAGTCTGAACACGCTGATTGACTGACTGATTGAACAGTCTGATTGACTGATTGACTGAATGACTTATTGAATTGACTGACTGACTGACTGGTTGACTGACTGACTAAATTGCTGACTGATTAATCAATTGCATCTGAAAATTAGATAATTTATGAAGATTAGATTAGGAAATCCAAATATGACATTTAAACTGATTCCCTATTTCCAGTGAAGCTTCAGTGGACAGCAATCAATCGTCAGGACAAATATTAGAATCCAAGCTTAACTATATTATTATTTGCTTATTCTTCAGTTGAATATGTCTCTTTTCTTATTTTTGTGGTTATAGCAATGACAGGTTGAAAAGTTTCCGGGACAGAAAACAAAGAAGAATTAAACTGGAAAATGAGGTTTGTTCAGAAATATAATTATATTTACTTTATTACCAGGGTAGTTGCAATAAGTGTCATTAAATGCTCTGTTAATCTGGAATTTCAAATTTTACATAGCTTTCCTGATGACTGGGTAGTATGCAGTTCCTGACCGGCCTTTCTGTCTGTTAGTAAGTCAGTTAGTCAGTCAGTCAGTCAGTCAGTCAGTCAGTCAGTCAGTCAGTCAGTCAGTCTGTCAGTCAGTTAATCAGTCAGTCAGTTTTTCAGTCAGTCATTCAGTCAGTCAATCAGTCAGTGAGTCAGTCAGTCACTCAATCAGTCTGTCACTCAGTCAGTCACTTAATTAGTCAGTGAGTCAGTCCGTCGGTGTGCCAGTCAATCAGTGAATCAGTCAGTCCATCAGTCAGTCAGTCAGTCAGTCAGTCGGTCAGTCGGTCAGTCGGTAGGTCCATCATTCTTTACTATGGTATATGCAATACAGCTAAAATGATTTTCCATGCTATCTCAGATATGACCCAAAAGTCTGCACCCATTTCTTAACCATGGCATGTGAACTGCCATCGTATCTAAACTACTCCCCAATTTCAAACAGGTGTTTTTGAGATTTATATATACCAACCACTCTGTAAGAGTGAAAACAATAACTGTGGTCTCATACTTTCTGGTCAGATTGAAAAGGCTAAATATCTTAAATAGCTCCATCATCAAACTGCCTATCTACACTTAAGCTGGCTACAAGAGCCATAAGCCCCTGTACTGTAGGATTGCATTGCGTGCAAAGGAATTAATTTAGCTGAGCTCCCACATGTATTGCGTCTTGACACCCATTGAGGATGGAATATAATCCAGGTATATATGTTCATTGTGTCAGAATATTTAGAGAACAAATGGCAAAACTAAGTTAGAAAAAGACTAATATTTGGGTAAGAACTACACTATCACTAGACTTAAAAAATATGCATACGTAGTGGGTCTTCAATAACGAGTTGATGAGGTGTAATGTTGCAGACTAATAGCATGAAATATTTGTTACAAGAATTAGATCAGATTTAACATTGCTCACTTATAATGTAAGGGAAGGCTACAGCATAGTCCTCTCTGCACGCATTGCTTGCCTATTGCTTGTAACCTGCGCAACATAAATGTATATTATTAGTAATAGATAGATAAATCATTTATTAACTACTGAGTACAACTTTTACTAAACAAAAGTGATAACCTGTTGTGGTGGAATCTTTTTATTTTCAGAAACAGCTTGAGAGACTGAGGAACATTCAACCATATTATGACACAGACAAATGGGTAAGAATAATCTCTGTGTTACCAGGTACTGAGTGCGTTCAAATGCATGGATATAATCATGGTCCTGTCTACCAAGTCAGGGGGCCGCGCACTTGAATGGCGAGGGACGGGATTGTATTAAAAATAAGACACGTTTTCATCGCAGAGTTTGTATCTTCAAAATCATGTTTTTCATCTACCATGATATTTATACTGTCTCTGAGCTGTAATAATGTTTTTATGGTAAGTTATTCACCCAAAAGTTATTAAACCGGCTGTACAGCCTCCTGTTCTATTTCCTTGGTGATAAAACTGTACAATTATATTCCATTTTTGGACAAACTGAAAATATTAATACCGAAAATCAGTCCGATGCAACTGGTAAGTACATGACTCTCTTCCGGAATGACCATTTTCCTGATCAGTTGTACGACAAATAGGTGACTTTCGCACAATCATTTGAACGATGATATTTAATTTCTAGTAACAGGGAAGTGAAAAATGTGCAGACAGCCGGATGCCAGGAGGTGAACCTGTTGTTCTTTGTATAATTAGACCTCGAGCGGCCTTTTTCAAACCCCTGGAATTTTCGAGTCGGAAGCAAAAAACAAACAATTGAAAACGCGGAGCAAAAAATGACGCGCAAGTACAAGGAGGGGTGTTTACTGTAAACCCTCGATATGGCAAGCTTTCTGATTTTGTTTGTTTGCAGGAAAAAGATTATAAAAAGCATCAGTACTACTTATGGCTGCTCGATGGAGGAACCAAAGAATATGACGAAATTGAAGACGAAGATGAGGTAACATAAAAAAAAGCAAAAAGAAAAAAAAACTGACACCAAAATCCCTAAAAGCAAACAAATAACAAACAAAAAAACAAAACAAAGCAAGCATACACGGAGCGGGAGTCCGAAGTTTTGTTTAATTACAAACAAAAACTACTAACAGAACAGAAGAACTGCACGACACGAAGTCCTGTTCACATCCATTGATGAAATGTCTAAGTAAAGAAAAAGTAACCACTTAAAGTTGAGTTAGTTTTTTAGCAAGATGTATCAACCAAGTTTCCACGAACGGAAACGGGAAGAATTACACTGTCCAGGTACACGCATGACGCGTGCTGTGCATGCTAGGCTGATAATAGGGCGCGAGTTGGAGCTGCGTGACACGCGTGTAGAAGCTCGCGCACATGTTTTGGCTGTCACGCACCGCACAAATCAAAACGTAAACTGAGAACAGTGGACTTGCAGCTTCTCGTGACAGCAAGTAGCGGTCTGTTTGACGTTAAAACAGAAGCACTATCGACTCCTCTGCGTTATATACACTGTTAGAGATTCAGTCCAAGGAGGCGAATTATCATAATTATAAATCTCGCTCGAAAAATTTAGCTGAAAACTCATTTGCGACAACTAAACCGAAACCGTTGAAAAGCGTACAAAATTTAGGATCGAAACTAACCAATCAACAATAGCGGAGTTTCCTAAGAGGTTCGCAACACCTCGCACTTTGTCGGGTTTTTAATTTTGTTAAATACTATTCGTATTCTTTAATGTGATTGGTTTATTTGAGAAACTGGATCGCTATCCTTTGTTCTCAAGTAACGTTCTGATTAGTTAACTCTTTTTCAAGTAGCCCGGTTCGAGTAGTCGCACTGTAAACACTGACACCGATGGCTCTTGTTATCCACAAGACTGTACCACATCGCTTTAATTTTAAATTTTTAAAAGAAGTACCCTTTACGTTTGCAGGAAGGCGAAAGCGACGACGAAGAAAGAGATAAACTGCCTCCTGTCGTAAGTTGACAGTCTCGTTAAAATATTTACATCATAGTATGTGTATTTGTTTGTTTGTTTTTTTTTTTACTGTCCCGATTTGCACTGGACGCAATGGCTCACATCTTTTTCTTGGATTCTGTGAAACGTAGGACAGCCCAGATGGCGAGAAAGGCGGCGAGAAAAACGTAAAAAAGAAAAAGGAGGAGCAAGTGAAGTTACCGCCCATTGATGGAAAGAAGAAAGGCAAAGATGGCGCCAAGAAAAAAGACGAATATCCAGAGCATGTTGTGATAATGGATGCCGAGGACATTCACAAAGCCATTGAAGGTGAGAGAGCTCAGTGAAGCGCCAATCGGTAGAGTCAAAGTCCACACGGCTTGTCGCTTCTTTGTTACTAAAAACGGTTATCATAGAAGCTAAAGAGTGGACTATTTGACTTTTGAGGGAGGGGTGGGTGATTCTGTACCGAAAAAAATACATGACTAAGACCACTGCCGAAAAAGAAATTCACGTGCATTCAGTGAGCCGTATAAAAGCATGTATGTTACACGCAGAAAAAATATCATGCGTACACATGTACCGAGAAAACAATTTCCTATTGTTCATGAAAGGGTTTTTGAAAAATTCGTGCCGCTACTAAATCACCCTCACACTTCCTCAAAAGTTAAAAGGTCCGCCCCTAAGAGGAACTCCTGAAAATTGTGTTCATTTTGACGTTGATCGTCGTCTATAGAAGTAACACCGGCACATAGTTTGTCACAAGGTGACAAATCAGGCCCCGAATTCCATCAAGGTGTGGATATGCACCCATTTTTTTTTTTTATAAGAATGCTGTTCTTCCGGCCCAGGCTGAATATTCTTATTTTTTCTGCTGATTTTGGGCTGAAATATTCATGTGAATATTCTTGGATTATAGGAATAAAAAGCGGACTATNTTGAAGACCATCAAGCATTCGATCAAACAACTTAAAACATTTCTTTTGTTCTCGTGTTTGATGGGCGATGATTTGTTCGTTTGGACAGCCGTATCAAACATGTTTGGCGCGCGCATACGTGCCACGCGTGCTCAGCGGCTTGTATCCATAGTTTGATCTGTGTTTGATCAAACATATTTTAACCGTTTGGCCTCTCACTTCACCATCAGCATGTTTGGTCACCAAACAATGTTTGATGATGTTTGGTCGCCAAAGATTTCCCGTTTGGACAGGCCTTTAAAGTAATTTTGGAGCCAGACTGCAGAGAATAAAGCCTGATATGGCACACGTAACTTCTTGCAGAAATCTTGTTAGCATCGAACATACAGCTAGTGCTGTTTTTTTTTTTTTTTTGCTAGTTTTGCCGTTTAGAGAAAGGAAAACTTTTTTACACGGTGAAATTAAAACAAGAGATTATATTTACAAATTTTCAACGCACAAAATTATATTCTTTTCAAAATCTCAGCCTCGGGGTTATTCTTAAAATACTCTTAAAATTTCTCACAATTTTAGCCTCGATATTTTTATAAAATAAATTCTTATAAAAATGAAAGAGTGTTTATCCACCAGATGACCACCATTGAGGGGATTTCTAAAGCAAACCCGCCTCGCGATTTTTAGCTGTACGATATTTACACAAGAAGGCGTACATTGTGGAACAAGCATGTACACATTTTTACGCAATCCAAAGTATCCAACTGATCTTCTAGATAGCTCGCTGTAGCCGAGGGAAGACTACTTAGCATTTTGCCTGTCTTAAATTTCTCTTTTTCTAATTGTTCGCAGAGAACGACAAAGAAAAGATTCTTCAAATCCTGGGTAGAGTCTCTGAAAAGAAGAAATTGGATAAATTAAAACAAAAGTACAAAGAGCTTTACGATAAGGTAAGAAAAGAAAACCTGTAAAATAATTTAATTATTGTTTTTCATGTTTTAAAAATGAAGACCGGAGAGACAGTGTAATTTGGTGTTCATCAAAAATTTGTTACCTTTCCAAAGCTATCTGCATCTTTTAAGCGTTTTTAATGTCATTATATTGCAAACTAAAATTTCTGTTTCTTATTTCTTTCTAAATTAAACAGGATTTGATGGAGGAAGTCAAACCAAAACTAGACGAAGAAATGCAGGACATTTTGGATTGCCTGGGTTCCGGTGCAGAGGAAGACGCTACAAAGCTATACGAAGCCATGAAGGTGAGTAAAGCCATGCTTTTCTTCTTGCAGCTTACAATGCAAGCTGTCGTTAATTTCTCCTCCTTGAAAGATGTTGTTGTTACTCGCGTTTTTGAATTTTCATTCGCAAGTAACAACCAGTCCTGAGAAGCGTTACACCGAGCCCTGTAAACCGACGTCATCAGTTTGGCATTTCTCAAGCCCAGTCTCAAATAATGAGCCTCGCAAAATTTCTTTATTGTCTGACAATGTTTAACACTTTTTCCAACCTTTTGCATGTACTAGGGACTGGGAACCGATGAAGACATTTTGATTGAAATCCTGTGCACGCGGACAAACACGGTGAGCTTCTTGATTGTTACGAGGGGGGGTGGGGGGTGGGGAGAAGAATTAAAAATGATATAGGACGTTGCGCTTAACTGACTTTTTTGTCTTTATTTGTTGGTTCAGGAGCTGAGTGATATTCGAGCCGCTTACAGCAGAAGTACGTACCCTTTTATGTCTTCGCTTAAAATTGTGGACATACAAAGGCGTATTTTAAAACTCTTGGATTCAAACTGAACAAAGTGATACTAACACTTTTTTGTTTGTTGTAGAATACGACAACTCACTAGAGACAGACCTGAAAGGAGACACAAGCGGTGACTTGGAGACTTTACTTGTCGAACTTAGCAAGGTACTAGCTACAATTACTGTAAAAACGAATGCAAAGAAGGGAGCTAGGGG